AATTAATAGTGCCAAAAGCTTGGCAAAAGAAATGCGTTTTTGTCATTTTTCTAAATTCTGGTAAAATGTGTGCTAAATACATATCCCGGGAGGTAACATTCCATAGCCTGGGAGCCAACCAGGAGAAGGCCCTCTCCCATATACCAGATACATGAAGTGGGGACAACTCTCCCCCAACCCTGCTGATCTCACTAACTGGGAAGGTTCATAATGAGAGAAGCAGCCCCTCGGATACTCAAGCCCTAAGCTGATTAGGGCTTTAAAGGTCAACATCAACATCTTAAATAGTACCTGACTGGCATTCGGGCACTATTTTGGTACAGACATCATGCAATCTTTGCTGGTTCAAAGCCTAGTCACTGGATTTTGCACAAAGTCAAAATTCTGGACACTTTTCAAGGATAGACCACTTAGCATAGTCAAGATGGTAATTCAGATGTGGATAACTGTTGTCAAATCTGACCAACTTAGGAATGGTGGTGTTTGCCATTGCCATTGTTTGCAAATCCAGTGACAGCTGGGAATCAAAAGTACTCCCAAACTATGAACCTGCTATCTGTGGGGAAATGAAACTGCATCTAGAATAGGCTTTACCCAAATCACCTAGGCTTCACCCTGAATCTAGTTTTCTTTTTACCAACAGTACCTCAGTTTTGTTTGGATTTAGTTTCAGCTCCTTTTCTCTATCCAGCCCATTACTAAAATTAGGCCATGTTCAAGGATACTAATTTCTTTCTTGGAACTAGATAGTAAGCAATAGCAAAGCTGAATGTCATCAGCAAATTGATGGTACCCCAATTCAAAGTTTTGAATGATTTCCCCAAGTTTCAACAGCACAGGGAACCAGGCGGAGCCCTAAGGGTCACCAAAGGTCAACAACCTAGATGCTAAATAGAAGCCCCCTAGTATTACAATATTACAATGGAAAGGACTGCAAGTATTACAAAACAGTACTACCAAGGCCCAACCCTGCCAGACTGCATTGAAAGATTACATGCTTTGTTTATTTCTATGGTGATCAATACAGAGGTTCTTCAGCCTTTAAGAGTATGAGGTGAAAAACATAAAGCTAGATTTGAATCGGCTAGAAGGAAAAAATAAGAGATGTAGAATCTACATACATATATAACTGAGTTGCTGAACCAGAGGGCCAGGCAGCTGGTTTCTGGCCCAGGACATCACTACAGCAATCAAAGTAGTCTTAAGTGAATGAAGCACTCATGAAGATGAAGCACTCATAGAAAAAGGGATTCAAATTATCAAAAAACACTGGAAGCTGTGAGGCCACCATTTTATTAATAACTTTGCCCCAAAATAAAATATCTGAGACTAGCCTATAATTACATAGATTCTCCAGAATAATAGAGGGCTTTTTCAGTAAAGATTTTATAACTGCAGATGGAAATACATCCTACGCCCAAAGAGACAATGCTCACCTCCCTTAACCAAAGGGTCAGTCCAACTTGGACAATGTATCAGCTAGGAGGAAAATTTAAGGACTGAGTAAGCAGGTATTGGCTCTTATCTCTCCAGATATCCTGTTCATATCCCCAAGATCTACAAGATGAAAAGAATCCATATGAACCATTACCAAGCTTACCTCCTATGACCTGTCCAAACACTGGAGTCCAAGTCAAGGCAAATCCGATCGACTTTGTCTGCAAAGAACAATGAAAACTGCTCACAGCGAGCCTCCGACTGTTCAGGCTCCCCAACCCAACATCTTGATGGAGGAGATGCCATACAGTACGGAAAAGCATTGCTGGTTTGTTCTGTGCAGATGCAAGGGAGCCAGAGAAGTAATCCCTCTTTGCTGCATCTACTACCACAGAGTAGGATTTCAGATGGGCCTTAAAAAAGGCACCATTTTGTCTCATCACAAGAATTTCTCATTTGTGTTTCAATTCTTTATGTATCTGCTTCATTGCTCTCAACTCTCTAATAAACCAAAGTGATCATTTAGCTGTTAGAGGAAACAGAGCACTTAGAATGGATAATGTCAATCACCTAGACCAGAATTTCAACAGTATCATGGAGAAATGAGGTGGGAAATTCCCCAGGTACATTCAGGAAGTCATTGGATCCATCAGGCCCCTGGGTCAGACCATTTTAACTTCTTATCCCTGCAGAGGTTTATAGCTGTTGCCAGCTGTTGCCAATCTTAACAGTATCCCCATGCTGCCCTGGCTACAGGTTCAGCAACAAACAATCTGACTTCACATATTGTTGGATGCAGTGATTGGTCAGTGACCTGGAACTTCTATATAATTTAAAATCTATGTCTCTTGGTATCACAATTCCAAGGACATTTATCCTTTGGTTTTTTGTTCGTTTGTTTGTTTGTTTAAGTTGCAAACTTCTAGTTCAAGCTTCTAAAATACTGTTGGGCAATAATCAAGACTGACTTAACCAATCAATCAGTAGTTCAGGTTGATTTAAACGATTGAACAAATAATTCATACAAATTCTATATAAATGTGTAACTCAAAATCTGGAAGACCAATCAAGCAACAGCATAAAGGGAATTGTATTAATCCTGCTAATGATCCTAACAGTTAATGAAATACATTTTTGCTGAAGTCCTTTTCCATTTTTTGCTTTATATAATTAAAGTTGGGTCAAATTATGGCAGAATGAGTCCCTTCCCTGGGAAATGTGATGGCTTCTTTTGAAATACATATGCTCAACTGTGCTTTTAACAGTTGGATCTAAGGATCACCTAGAATTATGTGGTTGCTAGTTTCTGCAAAGTACCTGATACTGCTATATATCTGTTACAGATGTCTCTCTTTTGGTATGTATATAATCAGATAATCAGTTAGGGGAAAGCAGTTTAATGGATAATTGGAATGTCAAAAATCACAAAGGAATCACGTCCATCTGCTTCTTATATGAAATTATTTGCTTGCCCAGTTGGTCTGACAGGGAAACACTGAGTACTTTAATAGAAGCAATGTTTGCCATGGTTTTTTGAGGTTTATTTGCTATAGCTATTCAATTGCCTATATGCATGTTTTTACAGTTCACAATACTGTCTCAAACTGTATTAAATAAACAGATATTGAAGCAAAACTCTACAGAACTCTCCAAATCTCTTTAGGAAAACTATTTTGTGAATGTTTCTTTGAACATTCCACTCCAAGAAAAGGTGGGACAAAGAATTTTCCCATTTGTACATATAGGGCAACTTTCTAAAAGTTGGATCACATTTGTTAGAGAACATTTCTATGTATTGATTGGGGATGCTCATAATGATTTATGGGGTTGTGCAGCACTCTGGATGTATTTCAGAAAAATCTCAGAAAAAGGCATGTCTGCTTTAAGCAGCTGCAGCCAGGTGCTATGTTTATGCTCCTGCACATTTGTGCTTTTGAATCTGAAGCACTGTAGAACCCTAATCATTTATAATTTGAATGTATTCCAAGATCTTTTTTGCCCAGATCTAAATGTATTAGGATACTTACTATGTATCTTTTTCCTGGGATGTCTTGCTGATCTTTTGTGATGCTATTATTAACATCATCATGTTTCAGAACAGTTTCTCTATCAAAATATTAAGCTACCCAACATGCTACCAGCTCCTAGAAAAGCATGGTTTCTTCAAGAAACTAATACTGAACATCCTTGTTTTCTTAAATGTAGAGGTACAACCGCGCAATGTACTCTTTCATAATAATGCTTATACAGCTAGCACCGGGATGGGAATCAGGAAAAGAATCACAGAGAATGTAAGACCTGGGAAAATTATTTATGTGAACTAGCCCTGCAGTTACACATTTAACCAGTTCTTCTCCTAAACAAATCCTCTGATTATGAATCTGCAACTAAAAGACAGGCACCCTCTAATTAGAAATCTATAATTCAGAGACTGGAAATAAGATGACCAAACTTCCTTTCATACTATCTTTATTTCTAGGAATGCCTCGTTTGACCTGCAGGCATTCTTAGAAAATAAAAATAATGGATGCTGGTGGACCTGACTTTGGAAGAGAAAGAAGGAAAAATCCACTGGTGGGATGACGGGGAGCAGCAGAATCAGTTTGCCTTTTGCTTGTGACTTGTCATGCTCATCATGGTAGTAGTTGTTTGAATAGCCAAACTTTCCTGATAAGATCTCAAATTTATAAGAATGCCATTGGCTCAAAACATTACTCACTTCTGATATAATTAAATATCTGAATGTAAGCCTAGTCACATTTAGAGTTTTTAGACATGACTGCCACTGAACTGACATTGAAACATGACAATGCTATTTTCAGGTATAAATGTAACTCAAAACATACTTGCTTGCAATCATACGTAACACATATGCCCCGGTAATTTTTGTTTTCAACAATCTATTTTAGAATCCTACCAAGACAAGCAAAAAGCCATATCTCAACAATCTCATGTTAAACCCAAAAGCAACATTATTCATTAGAAATTTCTCATACTGAAGTTCTATTTACTATAGGAAATAGATGCAAGACCTTTCCATTGATTTCGTATCAATTTGTGTTCAAATATCTGCTAATTGTTTCCAATTCACTTCTATTTACAAAACCACACCATCTGATTACTACATAACTTTGTTTCTTCAGCTTGATTTTCCTCAAACCATTTTCCCCATTAGTTATGCAGTGAATAGTACAACTGGATAATACTTTTTAGTCTTAAATATGTCTGCTGTTCCCTTAATATCATCTTACCTATACATCCTCTTTTCCATTTTTCCTTACAAACACTACACATATTTAACTGAAGAAGATTTGACTACTTTGACCTTATCCACAGAGCTGTTATCTTGAAGTCTCTTAAGGATGAACCTTTGCTAACCTACATAAAACAGACTCTTTTATTGCATACAAGGTTAATATAAATTTCATTTCCATTACCTATCAAGAGAATGTAAGAATTTGGAAGCAGTAGCTTTTCCTGCACATTGAAAATTACCAAATTCGTAGCTGTTACCACTTGCAAACAAAGCTCAGATAAAATGTAATCAATGATTAGAAACTTACATAATCATGAAAGGCTTTAGCTTCACTTGAGTGTTCACATGTTTCACGTCTTTCCGGGGCTGCGCAATAGAGATCCCAAAACACACTAAAAATAAAAAAGAATGTCCAATTTGTAATTTATATTTCTTCAGGTGTATCCCAAGCATTCATATGCATTATAGTAATCACTACTTTATTACCCTCTTTCTTCATACTCTGAAAGCAAAATTTATGCAGCATTCTCATTCTGTTGGAACTATGCATACCTAAGAACAATTATAATGATAGCCTAACTGACAGTACAACTGATGCTGTACAGATAAATATCCTAATACCGTAATTTAATTTGTGTTTAACTTAAATTCAAGGACCATGCAGCTGATAAGAATCTGAATACAAAATAAAGCCTCTGGTGTTTTTTTTTAATGCCAAATATTTAATCCTGAACTGTTTATCAGTTATGATGAGCAATTCTTGTCTAAAAACATCATTAGAAAGTTTCTGAAGTATTTTGCAAAGCTCATGAACAATTTTACATTCGAAGCTCTAGGAGAGAGTTTCCTATACATTTTTTATATAGAGGACTGAAAGGAAAGAGAGAACACTGAAGATACATGGTAGCTAAAAGTCTGTTACATTAAAAATATTTATTTATTGTAAATACTATATGTCTATTTAAAAATGATTAACTAATCTAAGCTCATACAATATATCGCTAACTTTTGTTTTCTTTTGCACTAATTGGTAAAAATACCCTGGGTACTGAGTTGAGCTCTACTCCTGATAATTTCACACTTCCCTGCAGATTTCTTGACAACAGTACAGAATTGGTTTCTTCTAGGATGTTTTTTTCAACTTCCCAGTCTAGCCTACAACCCTGGAATTCCCTGGCGGTCTCCTAGTTAAGTGACTTCTTCTATCTAATAAAAAATAAGACAACTAATTTAAATCCTTTCCTTATGTAATAAACATAATATGCTTTTAAAGCCAATTAATAACATAGAAATTAAATAGATACATTATATTTATTTTTAAGAGACTGATGTTGACATCTGGGTACTGGTAAATCAATATTAGCATTAAAATCCACCCTTTAATAGGTGGCTACTCTTACTAGGGCTGGGGCAGGAGCAGTTCCAAAGCAAAGTTTCTGCCATGCATGCTTCACAAATTATTAGAAACAATTTTGAAGAATGCACAAGTGTGAGCATACCACCTCTGTGCTACTCATTAAAGCATTTTCTCTTTTTTCATGAATCTGAAAAAAGATGCAGCTGCTTGAAAGAGTCCATTCATTAACCTTAACATGATTCTTAAAGCAGCCACACCATTTTTTCACACTGGGATGGAAGCCTGAAAAAAAAAGCAAACAGGAATTGTTTTAATGAGTATCATACAGATGTTGTACTTATACTTGCATGATGCCTGAATAACATCTTCTAAATAATTTCTGGCACATGCACATCCCTATTCTTTTCTTATGCAAAGGATTCTCTCATTTGTGTCAGTGGCAGATGCCACATAGAAAGATGTGCATGTACAATCTTCTCCTTTCCTGAAATTAACACTGTTGCTCCTGTGTACAGAATTCTTCTCTGTGTACAAATAGTTATCCAGGGGCATCCACAGCAACACTCACAGGCTTCAACATGATGGGGATAACTGGGCAATCAAAGCCCCTATCCTTTTTAATAGGTGTTATGCACCTGTGTGCATATAAAGTGGGTGGGGCTTTGATCACCTGGTCATAACTGTCATTTTGAAGCCAGGGAATGGCACTCCAAAGGCCCCTGAATATAAAAGAGCTCTGAAGTCAGAAACCTATTTCATTTCCTGCTTAACACAAAATAACAATATACATTGTACAATATACATACAATATACATGCTGGCATTTCTGTAGAATCTTAACAACTAGTTGTCATATCAAATTATTTTAAGTGTATCTTTCTAGTTATATGGGAACATCCAAACGAAAAAAAATCACAAGTCTGGAAAACTTGAATATCAATCCTTCTGAAAGAAAAATGAGCAAGGTTCAACTGAAATAATTATATGATTAATTTTAACTTTTCTAGGAAATGAAGTGACATTTCAATATTAAATGCAGCTCACATCTGTTTCTTCCAACTAATTAGCAAAATTTCTTGTTACCTTTGATAAAAATCAGATTTTGTACAGGTACAGTATAATACTTTAACAACACAATCTTTGTAAACCTGAAATACTTACCACCACCAAGAGTGTAAGAATCCTGGGGGTTCGCCCAATGTGATGTTTTTTTCCCATCTTATCTAAAACCAGTGCAAATAATGATTATTTCTTTAGGCCAGACAGATTCATATGAAAAAAATCATAGCATCTAGCTAAAATCAATTCAGATATGGATCTTTTAAAATCAACACAGACAATTTCAAAAAGCTGTTTCAACTGGAGGCTGAATATGTGTTGTCTGCTATATCCGGGGGAGCAGGTTAGCTCTGTGTGTAAGAGTGAGACAGAAAAAGAGAATATGTATGAGTGTGCAGAGCAAATTACATACTCAGCTCTCCTCACCAACAGCTTGCTATTGCTTCTTGTGCTTTTCCTTATCTGCTAGTTGTGGCAACTGCTTTACTCTGCCTGAAAGTATAGCCAGCTTAATCTAATTTTGTATTTCTTTATAGAGATTTGGACTTGTTCATTTCTTGTAATTACGTTTGCCCTCTTGTGTTATACTCTGTTTTTTAACTCACATTTCTGAAAAAGAAAATATTAGATATGGGATAACTTTTGCACTTTAAGAAACATTTCACCTTTACCATTACTATTCTCAAATATATTGTTATGTTTTATAATAGTGACATTTAACCTATCACTATAAAGAGTAAGAAAAGCTGTTACATGAGCAGAAGTCTGTTTGCACTACAATGCATATAATCCATGGATAGTAAAACTATCATCTAATTGTGTTATTCATGCCTTACACTTAAAAAATAAGATATAAATTTGAATATTCTTAAGCCACAGAGACTCCATACTTGGGACAGCCATTCATCTCAAAGCTGCAATGACTGTGTTAGTAGTGACACAGCATTTCTTTCACATGTGAAAGGAAAACAACTTTGTGGCTGCTGCATATGTATAATCCTTACCCCACACCAGTAATAAAATGATACAATTATAGATAGTGATATAGTGAGTTCATGCAAGCGAAACAAAGGCTAGTATTTGATGCCCTGGGTAATAATTGGCAACATTGATCTAATATTTTCATTTTACATGGAAATGACCAAATAGAATAGTGTTCTTTAACCATTAGTATAGGTGCCACACCCAGCAGTAGTCTAGGCTGGAAAAAAGCCCATGAAACTCTTAGATTGGAGTAGCCTGGAAAAGGTCTGGGGCTTAGGAGTCAAAATAAAATAATGTCTTACGCTAACTACCTCCTCCCCCCCCCCATTTTTATTTTCCTTTTTAGTTTGGTCTTAAAAGAAGACTATTTCAACAGTGATAAATAATGCCTCAAGCCCAGTGACTCTTACTTGATATTTTCCAACACAACTAAATAACATTATTACAATTTTTATGGCCTCAAAAATTATCGCAATCAATAATGATAATAATGATATACCTATAAGCATCTATAGTATATGTAAGAGAACCTGTGTTCTTTATAGAGTGACTGATAATTTTTAATATAAAAAAAGCTTACTGATTCAAAAGATAGAAAAAGATTAGAAAACATACCTCTGATAAAAACGTCTGTGCAGACTTCTGTGCTCCTACATGGAGAAGATATTCATATACATATAGTGCTAACCTGGAAACAGAAGAAAACCTATTAAAAGTCTAATTATTTAATAATTCCAAAACAAATAGATTGCAAGATATGCTAAATAGAGAAAAACACACTATAGGTATATTTTACATCAAAACATTATAGATAGGGAAAATCATAGCACAGCTAAAAAAGCTTTTATACAAAAAGCAGAGTCTGTCAATATTTTATTATCTTGAACGTATGCCCAGTTGGAGAAATATTCAGTTACTATTAATCTATATTTATCCACACAAGCTATGCTTACAGTAAACAATACACCATATCTGTAATTACAGCAGCACAGAACATTGATAAAAAGTTCTTAGCCATAACATCTTTTCAATTCTTATTTAATTTGTGAACATCATCATCATTATACCTTCAAGAGGAACAACCCAGAGTTATCCAGAACTGATAACACCCTTGAAATAGTTGTGATGAGACCAATTCTAGCCAAGACCGTTCTTCTTAATAGTATGTCAGAGAGACCGAGGAGAGAGAAATTGTACAGCGATACCCTTTCATATTCTAACTTTGCAGTTCTGTAGCTAAATCCTTATCAGAAGATATTACTAAGTCAGATGTACCTGGCCCAGAGACTCAGTTCATACAAAAATATCAGTCCCAAATTGGGACTTCTGGTGGAGGCATGGCAAGCTAAACACATCTCCATGAAGAATGGAGGCAATGACTTCAGCAAAGACTGAAGAACCAGTGAGTAGACCGGTTCTTCAAAACCTCTCTAGATAAGGAGAGGACCAAAGATCACCCACATGTACTCTGGAAGGCTGCTCCTTGTGAGCAGACCACAGGATAGACATCTCCAATGGTCTGAGTGTCAGGAGACAAAATCATCAAGCTTACAACTGCAGCCAGGGCCTTTTAAAGGACACTAAGTTCACTAACCTCGCTTCTAATCATGTTTGGAAATTGCTTATTTAAATATCTTAAGGCTATTAGAGATCTTCAAAATTACAAGCCTGAAAAGTCACTTGGTGAGTATATCTTTATTCTTGAACAAAAGAAAAATTAACTTTTAGAAAAAGAATTTGAAATAAACATCAAAAAGCTAAACAAGATTTTGAACTAGGAAAACTATAAACGAATTAAGGGTCCAGACAAATTTGGAATATTGAAACTTTTACTATAAGATTTTGGAATTAACATATAAAATAAACAGTTTTTCATGAGAACCGGTATTATTTTGATTACCGTAAGTCATAACAGAGATAAGAGACCTTATGATTTAAATTGGACACTAGAGGGGACTAAAGTCCAAGCAAAAAAAGGAAACAAACAAACAAGAAAAATCTTACCTTTAGGATTGAGATTTACAAAATGACACAAAATACTATAACATTTGAAATATTAAAGGAAATCTTCAAAGAATGGGGCCAGAAATTAGTAGCTACAATATCAGTAATGATGTCTGCTTCTATAGTCTTCTAGAATAGACTATGTCTAGATGATAATGAAGGAATGATAGATGTGAAACAAATTTTGCTCAATGCAGAAATAGTGGAATCAGAAATATTGGATAAAAAAAAGTGTGGATTACAAAATAGACAAGGCACTCAAACTTGAAATGCAAATGACAGGAGAAAGTGTGGATTACCAGATAGAGAAGAGTCAAGAGAATGCTCTCATAAAGACCTTTTACTGGATGCACAAAAGAAGTTAGTTAAGGCTTTGAAAATCAAAGGGGAAATTCAAAAGACAAACCAAGACAATGACCTGGATGATAACTTTCCACTGTATATACAAAAGAGGTCTGTTAAAGCTCAGGAAAGTCTTTGTGATGGGAAAAAAAAAAAGACAACATCTGAATGAATTAAATATCAAGACTGTTAGAAGTAAAAGAAAGGAATATAAAGTTGGTTTGTTTGATCAAGGTTAAAACAAGATATGTTTTTATAAAGCTCTGGTAACCCTTTATGGACTTTTTTTGTTGACACCAGGACTAAAAAATTGATTTATAGTTTGGCATATAGAAGGGATGGGTTATGGGAAGAAGAAATATTTGTGTGTAACTTTATAGAGGGTGATGAGTTATCAAATTTGTTTTTACTTGTGATGAAGACTGGAAGTCACTTCTTCACATATTTTTCTTTTTCCTTATCTTATTCTACTTATTTCTGTTTCTTTCTTATATTTTTTCTTTCTTTGCACTTTTTATTCTTTCTGTCTTTTTCTTTTTCTGAGTTTAATTTGTATTTGCTTTTACTATTGTATTTAAAATCTTTAATAAAAATTTAAAATTCATACACACAGACACATATATATATCCTAAATCCACGTTTGGATTTCTTTTGAAGGGATTTCTAGTTTGTTCTAAACTGCAGTTTCCTCTTTCATTAAAACTTAGGAAAAATGCCATAGTTAATTAACAAACCAAGGTATCAAACAAAGAAATGGGTCTGACACAATAGAAAATTGTCTTTGACTTGCAGAAGTTACAGCTGTTAATTTCTAAGAAAAGTAGAAAATTGCAGCTTAGAACAAACCAAAAATGGAAGCTTTTAATACCTCCACACATATGAAGGAGAGTTTATTATTCATTTTCCTTTAATAGCTATTTTACAGAAGAAATTTAACTACAGCATTTCCCAGTAGGCTGATAAAATAAAGCTATACCTGTTGACTTATGCTTATCATGGAATTGTTAATAATAAAAGTACCTGCACGGAAAGCAAGCTGGCAACTCTTAGTGGCTATTCCATTTTTTATAAAAATTGACAAGATGTTTCAAGTACATAGGGTGAAATCAAATGTTATGCTGAGTTGGAGTTAGGCATTTAGAATTTAGACAATGTAAGAATAGCAACATTAAAAACTATATTGGCTTCAATTTGTGTGATAAACACTACAGGTAAACTGATCAATGTCATAAAGGGAGAGTATGCATCAGCATTGATCAAATGGAGTTCAAACTAAAAAGATAATGTGCTTCAGCTGTCTACATCCTGGGAGGAACAGAAGAAATCTTTGGATTTAGAAGTTGGATGCTATTCTCCATCATTACAATATCAGGTATCAGTACAATCTTATTACCTAAGTAATATAGCATAGTTCATAGCATTCTATACATCCAATATTTCCTGCCAATTCATGATAATATATAAAAGATAATTGTGATTGATATGCATTTAAATATCTTTCATGAATAGCATACTTACCATTTCATTCCGTGGCTTCTTTGTAGATATCAAAGAGTCCCTATTTCTTTAATATGACAACTTGTGTCTAGCACAATGACAGTACTCTGAACTACAGGGCATGGTATAGACATGTTCATATGTCTGATGCATTATAGAGTTAATTAGGAATTAAAGACCACACACTTAGTAATTTGGGACACAGGATATTTGCTCATATAGCAGCTGCCAAGAAATAGAAGATAATACTGGCATGTTCTAGTACTTTTGGAAGGTTACTTGTCGGAACATAAAACAAGGTCTCTTACTTTACACACGCTAAATAATGTTCTATTTAGAGAATAAAGAAAGGTAGTAACCAAGTAAGGGGCACCCAATCTTTTTTTCAAAAATGAATAATAACGAACTATTTTCTACAAAGCAACTATATTTTCCTCATAATCTTTACATAAATCAGAATAATCTGAATGATAGGATTCTTTAGGCAAAAGATTTCTTCTCAATTTGACATCTCAGTGGTTTCACCTTGCAGCTTACAAAGCCCTATATAAATCTACTTAAAACCATCAGCAACAAAATAAAGCTTAAATTTTTAAAATATAGTTTTTTTAAAAAAAGTCTAGATTTACCTAAACTAAGTGTAAGTTTTCAAAGTACAGTGGTACCTCTAGTTACGAACGCCCCTACTTACGAATTTTTTGAGATACGAC